GGCCGAAGCAGGGCCCCTGCCCCGTTTTGGCCGTTAGGAAGGTGTGGCGTTCGCCGCTCCGGCCAATTTCTACGCTAAGTCGTGCACGCTCCCTCCCTTAACTTCCCTGTAATTTCGCTTGGAGAAGTTGCTCTTTTTTTCACCTCTTCACTAACTTTTATGTAGCGCTGCTGGCACGTTCAGCGGCGAGCGTGTTTTGATGGTGAGTGAGGGACCCAGTGCGCTGTTTGTAAAGCGCTTTGGGATCGCCTGCGATGCGAGGGGCTGTGCGAGGTGCGTTTGGCGTGCTTTGCCGATAGATGTGAAGGTGTCTCGCTTATCGGGAACTTTGTCTAGCCTTGAGCTGCAGCTCCTAGCCAGCAAGTAAGGAGGTAGGGCGCTGTTAGCGAGACCGATCGTTTTTTGTTAGAAAGAAAGAATAACAGAAGAGGGCATGGTGCGTCAGGAGGTTAAAACAGAGGAGAAATGTTGTATAAAAATGACTGTGGTCCCAGGGGTTAGAGCGGAGGAGGGCAGTAGAAAAAGCACATGATGAAGACATTTAGAGAGCGAAATGACCAGAACGATATAAAAGATACTTTGCGTAGCCCTGAAACAGTGTTTAGCCAAGACCTGATGCGTGCTGCTGAACAGGCTCTGTCAGCAACGTTTTACAGAAATATTGGAAAAACCACAGGTAGCTGAATTGCAGATTTCTTGAGGCAGTATTGACCAGAAGGTAACTGGAACGGTCTGATGAGCTTTTATCAAATTAAACAAAAAGCTGAATGGACTTTATGTGGAGCTTAATTTACTGAGCTTTGAAATCAGAGTATTTTAAAGCATCTGTTTTAAAGTGCCTGAAACTAGAGGGGCTGAGGGCTGGGATAGGGAGGGTTCCCGTTTGCCATAGCTCTCCGAAATCCCTTTGGGATAGCGTGGCCTCGCCTGTGCTCGGGGGGCGGCCCGGGGCTTTGCGCAGCACCCAGCAGCACGGCCGCGGGGTGGGGGCACCTGCGCCGAGCGGTCTGTCGCCAACACGACGTAAGCGTCTACCCATCCATGGAAGTAGTAAAAGGTCTTCCAGCGCCGCCAGGGCTTCACGTTACCCTGGCTTGACACAGCATGAAGCGCGCCTGCGTCTCCTGAGTCGGTGCTTAACGTGTCCTTCGCATAATCCAGCCATGGGGGTACCACAGCCTTCTTATTCCTGAGCCTGTCTTCGCTATCACTGGTGTTTTTTTTTTCCTTGGTACTGAACCAAAATCATTCTTG